GAGACAAATAGACATACACATACGTACATGCACGCACGTTTTTGCACCAAATTTACGTTTTTCCACCTCAAATACTCCCCCGTACGCATAACGGGACATATTCGATAACGCATAAGTTTATTTAAAGAAAATGTCTTACGGTTCCGGGTTCCGTTGTAACAGGGACTGATACCAAATACACATTATTGCCAATTCTGTCATGTCGAGCTTTCACGGCGTGTATTCGTGCATTCGAATCGCAACTCAAATGCGCTTCGTTCTTCGGCGAATCACTCACCAGCAACTCGTCTGCGTTCACAATTTGCCTCGAATCTATCGTCAGGGCCTGGTCATTCATAAGACGTATCTTCTGAAATGGACATCCATTTTGTCGTTCCCCTAGTTTTGCCTAGTTTATATCAATAGCATACTCTGCGTCCAAGGACAGAAAAGACATACTCTGCGTTCCAGAAGAGAAAACCTACCAATAACTTCTGAAGGGAACTGCGAAAAAAAGGTAACATCAGCCTTGTCAGCAGATGTTCTAGACTACTTTCGAATTGCCCGTCTCCCACAAAGCAGACATGAAGGGGTTTTGGCTCCCGACTTTTGATAAGAACTAATGAACTTTAGCACATTTTCATTTCTATAAGTCAAATAAATAAGATTATAAATGGTGCAGCCGATAGTTATGCCATCAGTCTTGGTCTCGTCGCACCCAAAGCAAAAAAACTTTCCGATTATTAGCGTTTTTTGTACCTATGCAATGCAAAAAGTCGTGGGCTGTCTGTGTGTGTATATGTGTGCGTCTGTGCCAAGTTTTCATCTCGAGACCTACACAAGCTACAAGGCTGAAACTTTGGGGAGTTAATCTACATGCATACACAGGCCTCCATCCCCAAAATGGACGCTCTTACCCACGTGGTTCCAATGTACGGGCCAGCGGAAGTTTTTGGCGGGGAAGTTGCTAGCTCGAGAACAAGAGATGCTACAAAGGTGAAATTTCAAGAAGATTTTTTCCTACAGTCGTAGTGGCCAGTCTCAATTCTTTTAGCTAGAAACGTTTGCCGGAAAAAACAGTGCCGTTAGCGACAAAAACCTGCGGGAACCGTGCAAAAAACGCATCTTTGCACCAGCAGTCGGTACGCTGGCCAATTATAAATCAATTGTGAACTAGTAACGTTTCAGTATTCAAAGCAAAAAGATAAAAAGTCAGAATGAATACTTCAACAACTCCGATATCAGGGACAAACCTTATATTCGGGCTCATCATCTTCTTCGTATTCAAGTAATGCTTCATTACCGCCTGCGATCACCACAGTGTTGTTCATATCGGCAACACGGTATTTCGTTTGTTTACCATCGGTATATGCGCTCTGAAGAAAAATTCGATTAAATTGTTGTCCAAATTATCCAAGTCACAATTTTTTCCGAATTCTCATCCACTGGAACTACTTCTCACAGCAGTTTCTACCGAAATCTATTTCGAGAGACAAAAACCAGTGAGGAAAACCCACAGAAAAGAAAACAAACACTCAGAAGACGATTTCTAAAACTAAAGACATACAAATTTTTTACAAAGCAAAAAAAAGGTGGAAAAGATTTCGCTGCTGCATCACTGCATCTCAGCAGTGCTGCAAAACTACACCGTCGATCAGGATGATCAGTGGCCAACGAATTTTTCAAACTGATTTATCACCCGTAGTGGTCCTAACTGAATCACGCTGCTAAGAAGGACCATAAACCCTCCGAATCGCTTACCCCTTCCCCATGAAATCACGATAAACACGGTAAAAACCTCCGCAGCACCGGAAAAAAAATAAATAGCAACGCGCACCAGACTAGCCGGTGCAATCATGCGTTTTCTGTAATTCAGCCCATCGAACGATTGCTTATTATTAATGATTTTCATTGCTTTGTACTTTATGCAAAAATAGTCCAAACATCGGAAAACAGTTAAAAATTCCACGTACCAGCGCACAAAAGCTGAATTCGAAACACTGAAGGGTCAATATCTTTCTGTGATTCCCGAGTTAACAGTTCACCCGCCAAAATTTTCACGAGGCCATGTAGGTGATACTTAAGAGCGCGGGAACGCTGGATTTGGATGGGCAAGGTTGAGCATGGGCAGGGAGTCATTACTCCAAAATTTCAGTTTCCGAGACCCCGTGATTCCCGAGATAATAATTTACCCGTAAGAAACTTTCACTGAGCCGTACATGTTACCCGTGGGTACGGGAACACTGAATTTGAATGGGTAAAGTTGAGCGTGGGCAGGGGGTCATTACTTCAAAATTTCAGCTTCCTAGACCC